ACACGAGGACGCCTTGGAGCAATACCAACGGGCGCTTGAGATCCGAGTGAAGGCACTTGGACCAGAACATCCTGACACTGCTTCAACATATAATAACATTGGAGTTGTCTTTCAAAATCAAGGCAAATACGAGGACGCCTTGGAGCAATACCAACGGGCGCTGGAGATCCGAGTGAAGGCACTTGGACCAGAACATCCTGACACTGCTTCAACATATAATAACATGGGAATTGTCTTTCAAAATCAAGGCAAATACGAGGACGCCTTGGAGCAATACCAACGGGCGCTTGAGATCTACGTGAAGGCACTTGGACCAGAACATCCTGACACTGCTTCAACATATCATAGCATGGGAATTGTCTTTCAAAATCAAGGCAAATACGAGGACGCCTTGGAGCAATACCAACGGGCGCTTGAGATCCGAGTGAAGGCACTTGGACCAGAACATCCTGACACTGCTTCAACATATCATAGCATGGGAATTGTCTTTCTTAATCAAGGCAAGTACGAGGACGCCTTGGAGCAATACCAACGGGCGCTGGAGATCCGAGTGAAGGCACTTGGACCAGAACATCCTGACACTACAGTAACATGTAAAATGGTTGAAATGACGTCAGAAGTCAATCGCTCATTTTGCATGAAGTCGCTGTTTTTTTTTGTAAGAATCTTGGTGAAATTTCATAGAGTTGCCATGAGCTACAATTCCAAGGCCAAAGTTTTGCTGGCTTCCATTTTTGGGGAGCTCTCAAGAAGAAAATGAAAAATGTACTATTGAGTTGCAAAAAATTTATGACACGGCGATTTGTGGATCATGTTTTGCGGCGAAAAAATGAGCTTTCATCGTTGGGAAGCTTATTTGGAAACAAGTTCTCATACTTTTATATTTTCAAGTTTGTCTTGGGACGAAGGAGTATTGAAAGTATAATATTATTTTAAAATATATTAGTCTTATAATATAGTCTCTTTTATATTGTACAGCACACATGTTACAAATGGCTTTTTTGGCAGTCCAAACAAGTCTAATGATATAGTATATAACGGCAATGACGTGTGATTCATCTGATCGCATAATTGTCGTTGCTCCTGTTCTTCCACAAACAGTTTTATTGCAATTGCACCGTCCTCGTCGTACCTTCCATGGGGTCTTCATTTGTAGGAACCACGAGTTTCCTAACGGGAGCCCGAATGGTGCATTTCTCTTCAATGATAGAAAAGAGATTTCGTAGGAATTCACTCCTTTGGAACAGATTTGGCTTCTTGGTAGAACGGCGCTTATACGACGTCGCCGCCACACCCATCCAATCATTCGAAAGTAAGTCTTCTGCCGATGGGCGCTTGGTAGGGTCCCGTTCCAAACAAAGTTGAATAAAAGCCTTGGCTTCGT